TTTTTTCCAGGGTAGTGAAGTCACTATACTCCCTACACTTTGATTAATTAGTATACGTATATATATTTAAAGTTTAGGCATCCGAATCGGTACCAGGAAGGAAAAAATGACATACAAACATCTCTACTTTTAAATCATTTAGAGGCAAAGCAGCTCTAGAGGCCTAACAACCACTGACCCACAGGCTGGATGTTTCCTCACTCAGTATGTGAACCATCCTGTTCATTTATGCTATAACCATGCCCACAGTGCGCACGCACACACACACACACACACACACACACACACACACACACACACACACACACATATAATGGCATATAGAATATGAATTATTAATATGCCCTATATGTGGTAAAAGTGGGTCAGTGTACACTGGTGTGTACGCTGCTCCCACCAACAGCCCTGTGAGAGCTACAGTACACATTAGAAGACAGCAATAAGCTGTATGTGGGAAGAAACTATTTTGACTCTTACATGCAGCTTTGAGTCACAAGTACAGTAAGAGTGAGTTTTTTCTTATTCTGGAGAAACCTTTCATAGATGTCCTTGAACAAAAATGTACTCTTACAGTTTATAGTGTAATTTAGATATTCATCATACATGTGACTCATTTGGTCCGAGTCTCAAGCATGTCCCAAAGTCAATTTTTTTCTTGGGAAAGCAAGTTATTTCAAGTCAAGTCATTTTCTTCCGTCCCAAGATGATGTAGTCTTACCTGCAGTATCCAGTCTTTATGTTTGTCTTATTTTACAGAGGATGAATCTTCCCAGTATTTTGTTTGTGGTAAACCAAAGTTCCAGTGTATGAAAGGTAGCACACTGACTCAATTTCACCAGTTTATTTAAGATAAACATGCAAACATTCGGCCTGATGCTCTGATGATGAACATGCATCAGTCATCCAGCGTATTCAACACTGAAAAGAAAACTCACGGTATTAATGAACTAAAAAAGAATGAATTTTACTCTAAACTGTTCAAAAGGTATGACAATGAATTGAATTTGTATTATAATTATTTGTGTCATTATCAGGTAGCGTTGCGAGGAGCTTGACTGAGTCATCCAATCATGATGCCATTCCTAGAGTGCGCTCGCGTGTTAAGTTAAGTTAAGTTATTTATTTTCTGCTAAGTCAAGTTGTGAGTCATCAAAGCAGCGACTCGAGTCGAGTCTGAGTCCTCGTCTCTGATATTCAAACCCTCCAGTAAGTCTCGACTGAAATTAATTCATCATTAATGATGTTTGGAAAGTGGAGGAATTGTAAACGAGAATACAGCAGGTAGACTTCTTTCAGCTTTTATTGATCAGTTCGAATGACCTCTAGTGAAGAGTTGGCTGTTGTGTGTGGGTGAAATGAGCTTACAGTAACAGAACGTCTGGCATTCTGGTTGTTCATGATACTTCTATTGAAGACAGGCTGCTTGATCTTAGTGGGCTTGAATGGAGGACAGCTTTAAGAAAAAACTCTTTTTTCAGGCCTCAAAGGTTTTTTGCTTCAGTGTGACAAGGACATTCTTATTTCTTTACACACAACACATACTTCTACTGGCACTGGAGTTAAAAGATCAGTTCAAAGTGGTAAAGCTTTAGGACTTCTGTGTTCTTTGGGAGTTTGGGATCCTTTCAAGCAGGAACAAGATAAAAACTCCCTTCAGTGTCTGACAGAACTAGCCTAGCACATTAGCACGACTTCAGTGTTTCACCCTAAAAAGCTAGCTAGCAGCTACAAGTCATTGTTTATCCTCAGATAAAATCATAAGACCATCTGACAGTGTGCGGCTTCCAGCTCAAACATTTTACCTACAGGTTAAACTATTCTAATTGTCCTTTGTATCTGCTAGCTAGCTAACTAGCTGTCCACAGTCTGCACCAACTCAGCTGTGAACAGTAGAAGAAGAAACCGTAGTCACAGAAACGTTTCATAAACCGGGACTTTGTTTCTGTGGCAGCAAACACACACACAGCCTGTGAGTATTCTACCGCAACCTAACGTTACTAACCCTCATCCTCACACACCAGGAAACCAACCGGCACAAGTTACCCACAAGCCCCCCTTCTCAAGGAGGAAGGCTGAGCTGGTAGCACACCGGTGCAGTTAGGCTGTGGGTGGAGGACAGATCACATCCTTTACTCAAGTAAAACTACTGATATCCAACTTTGAAAATACTCCACTACTCGTACACTGACGGTACAACAGAAGCCTTTCCTCCGCTGCTGAGACAAAATCCTGAAGGAAACTCTGACAGCAGTTTAGACCTGTCTATATTATAGCTTTAATAAAGCATTATTGATCTGATTACTCGATTGATTGATGGAAGAACTGATAGAATACTCGATAACTTAACCAATCCATAGCTGCAGCCCAACAAGGAACAGAACTGAGTGTGAGCTGTAAAAGGGCCTCAGTTTGGAGGGAATGATGTTGGCCTTACTGAGAGTGTCGACTTTCTTCAAGGTTAGCGTCCCAGAGTCCAGCTGGTTTTCTATTTAACCGATTAGGACCTGCACTGACTGCAGTTTGAGAACCAGCGGTACCTTGGGCCCAGACGACGGTGACTCAGTACCGGTACCTTCACTTTCTCTCTGCAGCTCCCTTTGATTTATTCTCCGCTCTGCCTAGAACTCCTGCCCTTGTTCTCACTTTTCTTTGCCAAATTTGCTCACTTGGCTCTCTCAAAAACTTGGACCCCCACCTCAGCCACCCACTACCCCCCACACATACACCCAGCCCTTCAGTGTTATTTCCAAGTCCCACTTTTCATCTCTAAGCGGTCATATTGTCATCTGCCTAACAGACTTTGCATGCTCATGTCCCTCGTATTAGCAGCCATCTGGGTCCAGACTAAATGGGTCCAATTTAAGAAGAAAAACAACTCATCATATTCACAATGAAACTGCTACAATAGGAAAGCTCTGTTATCGCACATCCCATGGCAACGTTTAGAGATAACAGCAAAAGAAAAAAACTTACTATAAAACAAAATGCAGACGAATTGAGGATGTAATTGGCAGCAGCTCAGAGGAATATGTTAAAGCTCTGCCTTTCCGCTGCTGCTGGGAACAGTGGGGAGACGAGACAAGTGGAGACGAGTGTCCAATCACTGCCAGGCAGAGCGATGGGGGGACAATCAATGGAACGGCATGAGATAAATGACACACATTTAAGGACTGCGAGATGAGCAGAGAGAATAAACACTACACTGCACACTCAAACCTGCAGACAAACACACACACAGTGACAATACCAAGGTTGGTGAGTGGTGGGATAATGTGATATAAAGACCATGAAAACATGCTGCTGGAACCAAAAGGCTCAGTGAATTCTCATTTATTACAAGTTCAGAAAGTCAGTCATTTTTTCCGCTGCTGCACAAAACAACAAAAAAGGACGAAAATATCAACATTTCTGCTGTTCCCCGGTCTAGTAATACCTACTGGCTCAATTCCTTAATCACAGAGAGAGTTATATTTTATTTCTTTTCAAAGTGTCTGAGCAGAGCGGTAGAGCGGAGTGCAGGCGAGCGATTGTTTTAAAAGTTATTAGATTCCATTTCTGCCGATAGATCAATAGAAATGTCACACACCGGACCTTTAAGGGATTAATGGTGTTTGACAGCTTCATCATATCTAGAATCTTCTCAGTCTGTCTCTCCTCACTCTCTCTCTCGTCTGTTTCGATTTTGGAAGCATTTGAACGAAGACTCTGTAGATACAGATGTTTATGAAAAATGTAGATTGACGGACTTCTGAACTGACCATGGGTCACAATTCAGTCTGCGTGCTGAAAACATTTCAGTTCTGTAGGACGTACAGGTGAGGTGGTAATAATTCACAGCCAATTTAAGTAATTATTACCAAATTTAATGCTTCAACTGAGTAATGACCTCACAAACTTCCACGTCGCAAATTCTGAGACATAAACCTTCCGCATTGTGGCGCCCCCTAGAGGCAGAATATCCCAAGACTACTCACCGACGCTTGGACAAAGCATCCGAACATGTGACTTAAGTAGTGTCTAACATTGAGGAGGATCTATTATCAGAAATGGAATATAATACAGTATGGTAGGTATGTTTTCAAGGTTATAGGCCAAAACTTGTGGGTGAGATTTCCAACATATTGGGAACGGCATCTGTTCAGGTCTCTGAGACCCAGATTAGCACACAAGAATAATCCTAACAGATGCAGGGTTGCAGTAGCTTTGGTGCTTTGACCCCTGAATATAGCTGCAAGCAGAAATGACGGGTTCCAAGCAGACTGCGAGCATTTGGATGCTTGTTTCTCATTTACCTGACAAGGAGCACTTGGAAACACACAACATGAATGTATTGCCACACTGTTAGTAAGTAGGACTTGTCCACCGGGGGATTGTAACCCTGGACTCACTGACTGGGAGAAATGGTTTTCCAGACACCTTCTTGCATGTTGACACACACATATATACACACACTAGGCCTGTATCTCAGCCTTTAGTTCACTTTTTTGAAGAAAAGTAAGTTGTCTAATAGAACAATGGGCAAGCGACAGGGACAAGAAAACACTGAATTTGGGGCGGTGATGTAGACCCAGATAGTTCGATGGCACACAAATAATCCTAACAGATACAACAGAGCTGCTTTGACCCCTAATGAGCATAACTGCTTTATAGAAATATTGAATTTACAGGATTCAATGTGATGAACTACCTCCACAGGAAATACCAGAAACAGAAATCCTTCCAGAGAATTTACCACCAAACATCGCCCACCCCTAATCCGAATGATCCCGGACCCTTACTGGGTCAGAGTAAATCCATCACAGGTGAGATGTTTCTTTAATGCCTGCAGAGGTCCTCTCCATAAAAACACAGTCCACTTTGCAGCTCCGTTATCCTAAACCAGCCCAGTTTGAGATGATACATGAAAGAAAGGGACAAGCACACTCTCACATCTCTTCCTGCCAGTTAATCATCCCCCTTAATTTCAACTCTATTTTCAGCCTTTGACTGAGCCTACGTACCATTTCAGCCATAACATCCAGAGGAGAAAAGCTCTCTCAAGGAGGAGGTTCCACTGTTGCACCCAGGCTCCCTGAGTGGGGAGGAGAGAAGAGAGGGGGAGGGAGGAAAGAAAGATGTCTACAGTAAATTAAATCACTGCAGCCTTCTATACACTGCTATCAGATTTAATATTTGATATTTACAGCGAGAAGAACAGAGCTTTACCACCATAACACAAAAAACTCCCATGTGTGTTTGATGCAGTTTAAACTCCGTATTTAAACATGTCAAAATACAGACACACACACACACACATATATATATATTTATATAAATATATATATATGGAACATGGTTTGTCTTATCTAAGACTTCTGTTTGTTACATGCAAATCCCATTTATGATTATGCAACATGTTAAACACAAAGCATCAGCATTAATCACATCAACCCATCCACCTACAACAGTTCTCCTCCCCACTTCTCTCCCTGTAGAGAGAAAAGGGTGGGAGGGAGGGAGGGAGGGAGGGAGGGAGAGGGGGTTATCTTTTGTACATTTTGATTCACGCCACTGGTTATTTATTTTATCTACACTGTAAAACCTGAAGACACTCATTCACATGAACTTAACCCAACTCAAAAATGAATTGTTCAGTTTAGTAATCATCATAAAGCCCAAATATGCATTCAAATAATTCTCAATGATTCCCCCAAAGTGTAAAGATTTGATGTTAGTGACATAAGAAACTACAGGAAATTAAGTGGCTACCATGTTGATGATCAATTAATTATCAATTGTTTTCAGCTGCTTTGACAGGTAATATAATAATCTGCTTTAATAGAAGAAAACTGAATCCATGTAAACTTGATGGTAACATTTGTATAAAGAAGATGCATTTAAGTGTTTGTGTAACATCAATTCACTGAATAGAATTGGTACAATTAACTTAATTTACTCAGGTTACCTTAACAGTAAAAACTTGAGTTACTTCTACTCAAATCGAACAACTCAGACTGTTTGAGTTAATAAACTCAAACAGTCTGAGTTGAACTAACTCAGCAGGTTTTACAGTGTACTGTGTGATGCCTCCTGCTGTGTGAGGAAAACCCCAATATTGTCTCTAATTCTAGGTCTAAAGCATGTTAACCTGAGGTTGTAATCCCTCCAAATGATAAATGAACAGGTTGTTTAATCAAATTATTTTGCTGTTAGGATTCAAAACAACATTTATAAGACGTGATAACCTGGAGCACAATAACTTACACACACTGTAACACAAGGCGGTTTTGACCTAGAATTAGAGCTAATGAATAATATATGGCCTTCCTGTACAATAACTACATTCAACATTTATGTTATATACAACCTGATTACACAGTCATCTTGCTGCCTGCGCACAGTCAAATCTCTGAGGACGGGCGGGGAAGAGGACGTGCGGGGGGGAGGACGGGGGGGCTAAAACAAACAAGTAAACAGCTGAGGATCAAAGATGGAATAAAAATCAGCAGTTCTGCTCTTTAATCCGTCGACTATCGTTCTTGTAAATCTTAAACAGCGGACGAGCAAACGCAGAGGATCCACCAGTGTGTGTGTAACATTATATATTATATATGATGGAGTTTAGAGGGGGAGTGGAAAAGCAGAAGCTGAATGATGACTGAAGGAGTGAGGAGCAGAGGTGAAATGAATAATACAGAACACAGATTGACAGTGTTTCAGCAGTTTATCAATAGACAGACGGATAAATACCATGCTATACTGTGGTCAGGGGCGTTTCCAGAGGGGCCCTGAAAGCTGATTGGCCACCCCATTATCATTACCTCTTCCACTCCTCGCTGTCTTTTAGAGGCTGTAACAGGCTCCATCTTAAAGTTAGAGTGATGATAAAATGGTATCATATGAATCTAGATGACCTAATCATGTGATGCTAGCATGAAAATAGGTGCTACGGTTACCCATAGTCTCCCCTTTACACTTTATGCTTATTTCATGCAGTTTGGGGCAAAAATCATGGAGTTATTTGTACGTTGTATAAATGTGTCATATCTAGTGGTATTTCCAAGTGCATTTGAATATTTCTGCAGACTGGGGTCCATACACAGTGTTGGAAATGCATAAATTAGGAATGACCTGAAAGCGGAGACACAAACTTCATGCCCCCTCTGCATAGGTCAGTGCCCCTGACGGTGGTAGGAAATTATCATAGCATGTCCATTTACATATCATATTCTCCTAAGTCTACTGTATTAGTGTTATTAAAAATATATTTCAATGTAACAACACTGAATGAACACTTTTTGGAAGGAGGTTCTTGATCAGCCAGATAACAAAACTGAAACTTGTTTCCCAAAGCTTTGCATTCTGGGTATTTATTGCTAAGAAGAGTGACTGCACATTAGTAGATGTTTGTCTCTTACAAGCTAAGAGAGCAATAGCTACAGGATGGGAACATCAGTATATTAAGGCTCTATCGTCATGTGTCGCTATGGACTAATTAATCTATACTAATAAAGGAAAGCTGCATATTTTTGAAAATATCTGGAGGAGCTTCAAGGAGTGTGATCAATAAAGCCAAACCCTGAGAATTTTAATGACTTTTATTTGACTGAAAAACATGAATTTTATTTACTTGCCATCTCATTTGATGACACGCTGATAAAAGGTGAACATTTGCACATTTAGAACACAGTTTTGAGGCTGTCCTTACATTTTGTTTTGGTAGCTTACTGTTTACTGTTGACTTTAAATACACCTATATATTAGAATTATACATTTTCCAGTAGTAGGGAATATGACTGCTTCCAATGGGGAAAAATGACATAGTGGTGGTGGCTTTTTAGAAAATAAAGTCACTAAGATAGTCTGAAAAGTCACTGAGCTACTGAACAGTGAACGAGGGTAAAAAGAAATCATTTGAAAATAAACAGGAAATAACAAGAGACATATTTAAATATTTTCTACTGTACAGTGCTGGAGACAGATTGGTACTTTTCCAGTATTAGGGGGTTACATTGGTGTAGACTGTAAATGAGTGTCAGTCGGGGGAGCCCGGGAACCTGTATACCTCAATGCCTCACAGAGCCTCTGTAATACATACATCCCAGCCTCGAACATAAAACTGTTTACTACATATATAATGCAGGTGAACACCACTTTCTGACCTCTTTGCAGCGACTTTGCTAATGTAAATCTACTTGTCATAGAACCATCACCCTCTCATGGCACAAACGCCTGTTCCCAACAGCCTGCTAGCACTTTTCTGACGACGTGGACACGTCCTAATAAAGCTTCCAACATCCACAGGATAAGGCAAAACATCAATCTCTGGATTTTATGAATCCATATCGGATCATTGAAATGAAGATCAACTTACTAATTAGTCACCAGATAACTTCCTGCTCTGTTGTCTCTCGGCAGGTTTCGATAGTCACGCACACAAAACTGCTCAAACAGGTTTTAATGTTAATTGTGGTTCAAATTACGTTCAGATGTCACGTAAACAGCCTTTTGTTTGTTGGGTTGTTGGAGCGAACACGCACCAACAAAGCAGCACTACACCAAACAACAAAACAACATTTGCATGTTTATTCGCTAATTAGTGTAAAAAACCTCTCGCAGTCCTTTTAAATAATGCAGATGTGACAGAATGTCCCGGTTATTAAAGAGCCCGTCCTCTGATCCTTTCCACCAGGGAAGTCACATGGAAATAGAAATCCTGGTGAAACCCTGCTGTGCTTTAACATTTCTTCACTTTGTTTCCTCTCAGTTGAAGGGCAAACAAAGCTGATATGATGCTAAAGGATGTGTGGAGGCTTTACTGGAACTCAACTCTGAGTGTTTCTCAGGTGGCCTTGAGACAATGTTTACTGTCCGAATGCTGCCGCTGTGAACTTGGAAGCTATTTCTCTTTAGTGAGAATGAAATGTAAATATGAGCAAAGAAAAGTGCTTTCAGACTTAAATTTGATTCTCAGAATTAAACTAAATTTAAACCCTCAGACAAACTATATAATAAGACTAGTTTATTTAAAGATTTACATTAACGACACATAAGACTTGTCATTTAAAGTCCAGTTTGTAACATTGAGGAGGCTCTTTTGACCGAAATGTAGTATAATATTATGTATTAGGTATGTTTGGTGATGTTTGATGTAATCACCTGAAAATAAGAATCATTGTGTTTTCGATACCTTAGAATGATGTTTTTATCTTTTCAAAGTTTGTTCACTGTTTACAGTTTATCAGTTGTTCTGATATTGATATGCATTAAATATAATATGAAATATCCATAAAATAACCTGTGTACCATTAGTCAGGGGTCACCAGTTTGCCCAATGAGAGAAAAGGGGAAAAGGGTTTGCAATCAGTCTTACATACGACCCCTTCCTGATATACATCCACCTCACACCCCCAGTCTGAATCACAGACTATCCCTGTTTCCTGTTTCCTGATGTCTTTCTTCTGAATGATGATTCAGTTATTAATGTCACCAACTCTCAGAAGATTTCTGCTTTAAGGTCTGACAGTCGCCACAAAGCCTCCTCATAAACTCCGGATCTCCCAATGGATCCTTCCATCAGTACACATCCTCTCTCTGGAACTTTCTATAGCTGGAATCAACAACTGATTCCCTGTCAGGGCGCTCGAGAAAGTCAAGGTCTTAATGACTGTGACACAAATGTTCATACCATTACCAACATACAGTCTGCATTAGTTTGCTTTGTTTTGTTTTTTGTTTTATATATCATTATATATATATATATATAACGATGCTACAGCAAGGGGGCGCCAGGACGACAGGTCAGCGGGGGGATGCCACCATCACCCCCACAATCAGAGATTGGGTACCAAGTCCCAACAAATAACAACAGCCTCAGTACAAGAGCTGCTGACCTGAGAATGAAGATCATGGCCCAATTAGAAACCTGGAACCCCTGACGAATACCAAAGCTGACTTGTAAAGCACCTTCAGAAGATCTGCTAGTGGATGTGAATGCTGCAATAACAACAATCCCTACGGGAACCATCACTGAGACCAATAAGCTGATAAACAGTACAGCAACAGTAATCCTGCTTGGATACAGGATGGGCT